TAACTGTCTGCCGATGGGGTTGAATGCAGCCCCTGCCACCTTTCAGAGATTGATGGAGTTGGTATTGACGGGGTTGCAGTGGGAGACATGTCTCATTTATTTAGATGATATTATTGTCTTCAGCCGCACATTTGATGAGCATTTATTGCGGTTGGAGGCCGTTTTTGCCAGAATGCGTTCTGCTAATTTGAAATTCAAGCCTAAGAAATGTCATCTACTGCAACGTTCCGTTCGATACTTGGGACATATTGTTAGTGCGGACGGGGTGGCCACGGATCCAGAGAAAACTGCGTGTGTCCGGGATTGGGCAACCCCCGCCACGGTGGGTGATGTGCGTCGGTTTTTGGGGTTCGCCTCATATTACCGGAGGTTTGTTCCGAATTTCGCTACTATCGCCAGGCCTTTGCATCTCCTTACTGGGAAGGGGCACAAATTTGTGTGGGGACCGCCGGAGGAGGCGGCGTTTCGGAGCCTGCGCGACCTACTGGCTACTGCGCCGACGTTGGATTATCCGGATTTTGAACATCCCTTCATTCTGGATACTGATGCGAGTGACACCGGGATTGGGGCGGTGTTGTCCCAGTCAAAAGGTGGTGTTGAGCGTGTGGTGGCGTACGGGAGTCGGGTTTTGTCTCCCGCGGAAACTCGTTACTGCGTCACTCGCAGGGAACTTTTGGCTATTGTGTATTTTCTCCGCCAATTTCGACCGTATCTGTACGGTCGGTCGTTTATTGTCCGAACGGACCATGCGGCCTTGCAGTACGCTCTTAAGATGGACCAGCCATCCGGACAATTGGCGAGATGGCTGGACACGTTGCAAGAATTCTCCTTCCAAATTCACCATCGGAAGGGTGTGCGTCACGCTAACGCGGACGCACTGTCCAGGTTGCCGCAACAATCCCCTTGTGCGTGTGCGTCGGGGACGCATAGGTGTGGACCGGCTCAGCCCCCCCCTCAACCTGTCGCGCGGGCAGTGGATGTTCTCGAACCTCCGCTTACACCGGGACCGGTTGAAGGGGGACCGGCTGACGGGATTTTGCGTCTTCCAAGGTCTGTGTGGATTCGGGAGCAAATGTTGGACGATTCTTTGGTGTCGTTACGGAAACGAACGGAGAAGGCGGGTAAGGAAGTCGGTGCGGGTGGTAATTCGGAAACTGCTCTCCGAGATGGGTTACTGATGTGGAGGGAAGGGATACAGGAACACTGGCGTCTCGTTGTGCCTGCGTCATTGCGCTATGAGTTGATTCGATCTTTGCACTGTGACACACTTTTACACCTGGGGGTGCAGAAAACCCTATTGACGCTGCAACGAGACTATTATTGGCACGGCATGACGACGGATGTCGTCGGTCACGTTCGCGCGTGTCCCGATTGTGCCCGCCGTAAGCCGCCTAAACATCCATATGTTCCGCCGATACAATCGATTAAAGTATCTCGGGTTAATGAGTTGGTGGCGTTAGATATTTTGGGACCCTTTCCGCCATCAGCTAAAGGGAATAAGTATTTACTGGTGGGGGTGGAGTACCTCTCTCGCTGGCCGATGGCCTGGCCCTTGCCTGACCAGTCAGCGGCGTCTATCACGGACGCCTTTCTATTTGGGTATGTAATGGACAAAGGGGCTCCGGAGAGGCTCCTTACGGATCAGGGACGTAACTTTTCGTCTAAATTGTTGGGGGAGGTGTGTGCGGCTCTTGGAACTAAAAAGATACGGACGTCCCCCTACCACCCGCAAACGGATGGTATGGTGGAACGGTTGAATCGGACTCTGTCCGCCATGCTGTGCCATACAGTCGGGGAAAACCAATCTGATTGGGATTTGCATATCCCTGGGGTGCTTTCGGCGTATCGCATGACGCCGCACGCGGCTACTGGATACTCGCCGTTTTTCCTTATGTACGGCCGTGAGAACGTGCCGCCGATTCATGACCAGTTGGGAACCGGTGCGAGGGGGCCTGTTAAGCCTCTTCCTGAGTATATTAAGGACAACGTTCGGCGTGTCGCTGAGGCGAGGGAAAATGCCCGCATGGCTACTGCCAAGGCTCAGGCCAGGAATGAGCGGTGTGCCCGACGGTCAAAGGGGGAGTGTCCCTGGAAAAAGGGGGACCTGGCCTGGCTTCATTGCCCACAGGTGCGGCCAGGTACATCTCCTAAATTACATCGACCTTGGCAGGGTCCGGTCCGCCTCATTGAGGTTCCCAACCCACAGTCGGCGCGTGTTCAGGTTGGTGCACGGCGTTGGTTCGTGCACACGTCCCGGTTGAAGCCATACATTGCCCCACGGCCGGATGCGTCATCTCCCCAAGTTGCCTTGCCGGGGTCTGTTGCTGCCGACTCGCCCTTGCCTGTGTCTGCTGACCTTGCGAGAGCGCCTGTCGTACCCTTCACAGACAAGCCGGCCGTGACAGCGCAGGGAGGAGGACCTTCCGCTTGTGGGACGCCGACCGGAGCCGCAGAACCCACGGGACCTGCAGCTCTTCCTATCCCTCCGCGGACGCGAGTACGGGATGTTTCTGGACGCGAGCGGGACAGTGGCGGGCCTCCAATGGCGACGGAAGAACTTGCGCCCGTCGCCCCTAAAACCCTTCCACGTTCCCGCTCGGCGGGTGGGCCGCCGACCGTCCGGGACGGCCCGGCTACCCGTACTCGCTCAAAATCCCTCACGTTTCGTTAGATTGTGTTGTGTTGTGTTATTGTTATAATGTTCTTCAATGCTTCGTGTCTTTTGCGTGTTGGCCCTTTACACCCGCATTGCTTTTCAGGTTGCAATTCAGCCGAGGTCGGCTGGATTTTCTTTAGGGGGGAGGGTGATGTAATGCGGTTGTAAACGGCCCTTCTGAGGTGCCGTCAGGGGGGGAGGAGTTAGGTCACGTGGGGGGAGAGGGGTTGAGTATAGAAGGAGGGGAACCGGAAGAGCAGGGGGAGTGACGGGGAACCAGGAACAGAGGAAGGCCACGAAGGGCGAAGCGGGGTGTGGCGAGATCGCCACGAACACGGGGGGAGCGAGGATCGGCACCGTTGGCCAGCGGTGACCGACCCGAAGCAGCGAGGAGGCTGCAGTCAGCAGCGGGGCTGCACAGAGAGAGTGGGCAGCGGGTCTGCATACAGTGACAGCCAGAGGGTCTGCACATAGGGGTAGCAGCAAGTCTGCAGGGAGGAGGTTACAGTAGATGAAGCAGAGAGTCAGAGGGGTGAGGAAGCTATAATAGCAGTGAATAGCCGGGGGCTACAAATACAGGAGTTATAACAGAGTGCCGTGTGGGTAAAGACGTGAACCTGAATAAAGACACGAAGACAGAAAGAAGTGTTCGAGTCCTTTTATTACAAAACTACCAGGTCTTCACAAATCTACAAAGTCCTGGATGCCACGCACTTGCCATCATGCCCGGCTATTGCCACTAACCATACTCATCGGGAGTTAGTTCGCATATCCCCATCGTCTCTGGTGATGAGGTTGTGAATTGGGCGGCAGATTCGCGGCAGCGCAGAGGGTAACGCTCGTGCCTCGCAGCAAGGAGGGCCTGGGTTTGATTCCCGACTCCGGGCTCTTTTCTGTGCCGTGTTTCTACGTTCTCTCTCTTTCTCCCCCTGTTGGGTTTCCTCCAGCTTCTCCCGTTTCCTCTTATGGATAAAACAAAACCAACATTGATTTTGGCCGCACATCCCAATGCTGATAGATTACCTGCAAATTACTCAATTGGGTATTACACATGGCCAAACTGCAATCACTTGGACTGTCCTGAACAGTTTTTAGACTCAGAGGCATTCTTGGCTAAACAAGCACAATAATAATGCACGACGGTCACGATACTTGCTAAATGATACCACGTGCAATGAGGAAAAACTCAGTACAGGAGACACTTGCATATCGTGGGGGTTCCGTTCTTGGAATGTGTCACGAAAGCCAAAACCGCGATATTCAATACTCAAGCCTCACCTAAATAATAGGGCGAGGTACACGTCGACCAACCAGAGACACATCACAATGGACACAAGTACTGTAGTGTATGCCAAATAAACTAAGAACTAAACAATTGAAATAAACGTGTAAAAGTCCGATACAAATAATATTGCGAGACGATATATAGTATAAATACTGAATAAATACTGTATTGGCCGATGATGCTGATCCAAAGTGGGTGTGTGTATTTGTCCGCGAGTGGGAAGCAGTATTGACCCCAGTTCGATTCCCGCTCACGCCCAACAGCAGTAATGATTATCTGAATCGGTTATGGGCCTCCCCTAGGTCGACTTAGCCTCAAACGAGTACCCGTTGCGATTTTTAAAACATCGCCACGAGGAAGACAAAGGCGGCCGAGCGTGGTGCTGGCCACCCACCCCATCGTGTGCCATTGCCGGCCTTCATAGGAGCTTGCTAACTGCACTTTGCCTCAACAGTCTGTTAAGGCTATAAAGTTGATCTTTGTCCGCGAGATGCTGGGAGGGAGCAGTGGTGTAGTGGTTCGCCCGCCGCGCTACAAACCTGACGACCCGAGTTCAAAGCCAACACCAGTGACAATTATCCAAACCGGTCTTGGGCCTCCCCTAGGGAGACAAAGGCGACCAGGTGTGGTGTTGGTCACCCATCTCTTTTGCCGTGTTGGCCTTTATAGGTGCTCGCAAACAATACTTGCCCCAACAATCTGTTAAGGCTTTACGGGGGTTTTTGTCTTTGTCTTCAAGATGTCTGCACAGTTGAGGTGCCACTAGCTCCCATCCCTCGCCCACCCCGGACCATGGTACCAGCCAGCATACTCACGATTGGCCAAAACGAACCCCTGCGATAGCTAACTTGGTATGCAAAGAAGTCCCCTACGATACGTCGAAACTGTGAACGATAACCCCGCGATATTTAAGGCTCTCCCGTAAGTGTAAGACTGTTCATCTATGTGCAGAGCGGCTAGTTATTATTCACCCATCTTAAGGCTGAGAGTGTTAATCTTTCAGAATAATGGGTACGATATTTATTGTTAATGCTTGTCATGTGTTTATGAATTTCACAGCTGCAACAGCCATGCCGGATCAAGTGCCATTCCCAGCACATAACGACACCTTGACGACCACCCAAAACTACTCAATGTTGCGTCAGGTCAACGCGTCGTCTTCGCAGGAGACCAGCGGAAGCAACTTGACGTCGGTGTTGTCCACCCCGTTGGAAACCGCCCAACTGGAAGACTCCCACAGGAGGGCACCCGAAGTGCCTCTCAACGTGTCTCCGTCCACGCCTGTCTACGTTCACGAATTTCCATCACCACCTGGTCGGAATCAGTCGGCACCGCTTGCCACGGACCACAGTGTACTGGCTGACGGAGCTGGAGACATGCCGGGTGCAACTGCACAACCTCATAACAATGCTCACAGTGATGACAACCAAGGCTATGTCTTTGGGAGCAGTGGAGATGGGTCACCTACGGAAAACCCACAGCACTTTAAAATTGTCGAAATGGTAAATTCCGTGACCTCCAAAATCGAAAGAAGTCCCGAATTTGTCCAAGCATTTGAGAAAGATGATTTGGTTGTGCAGGAGCTGCAGAGCTTTGAGAAAATGGACATCTCTGAGCCACGGCACGGCAGAGAAAGCAATGAGGTCTACACAGCGAAGACAGAAGTCGTGACAGTAACTAAAGTGTTACCAAAAGACACTACCACCAGTGGCCTCTTGACTGATGCCATCACGATCGCCATTCCTCCAATGCCAACGAAGCAGGAGGCTACAGAGAAAAATTCCGAGCCAAGTCTCACCGCTCAGGGGGAGGAGAGTTTTGGAAACCTGGAAGATATCGAACTCAAAACGAGCGCCATCAAAACTGAATCTGTGGAAGGTTTTGAACCTTACAATGAAGGGTCTCTGAATGTAGGGCTGCCATTTATTAGAAACACGGAGGTGAAAGATGCCTTGGAATCTACTGCATCCACTGTCACTTCAATGGAAGAACCTTGGTTCAACATGACTGAAGCACCCAGTTCAGAAGGTGAGGTTTTGTCAGAGGGATGGAAAGGTGACGGGCTAGTTGACGTCGATGACAAAGATGCATCACTTGTGGGAAATGAAGACGCAAATGATCACGCCACAAATTCCAAGACACAATTAGAAGCTCCCAATGTTGGGAACTCATCTGAGACGTATGCTGACTTTGGCGACACCGGTGAGATATATGATGGCGTTGACAGCAAAGGGACACTTCAGCTGGAAGATTCAAGTAAGGACAGTGACAGTTACTGGAGCCAGCGATCCACTGCAGACCCAGACCTTGAGGATTCAAGGGAATCGTGGTTCGTGACTACCGTGACGGACATGCAGCCCAGGACTCCTGAAGCGGAAGAACTTGCTCCACAGATAACGAGAGGACCAGCAGCGATCAACGACGACGACGATGATTACGGTGACGTTAATAATTTAACCTACGGAGATGGAAGCCTGAGCGCGGAGCCAACAACGTCACAGATCTCCAGCAGCAGCGGCCCGGTGGACACTATCGCACCTTGGGACGAGGCCAAGTCGAAGGGCAAGGCTGTGGCAGCGTCGGATGCTGCGAGCTCGTTTGAGCTGGTGGACGGAGTGAGGAAGTGCAGGCCGGGCTACGCTCCACACAACGCCTCCTGCATCTCGGTGTGCGCAACGACGCCCCACTATTGCTACAACAATGGCCGCTGCTATTTGGTGGAAAACCTGGGAGCCATATGCAGGTGAATACAAATTGTGCCAGCCCATTGCAAATCAATTGAGATACTTTGAATTTGATCACTACTTGTCATTATTGGCTGTGCACTGAGAATTGTCTCGTGATAGTTTGGCCCAAAAATAATACATTTTCGTGGGAGTTGAGACATTTACATTTTAGATCAACAGGGCTTCCAATCTGCCATTGTGGCCTAGTCTGAGTACTATAATGTTAATTTGTGGGCATAGGCATACCTTTATTACATTGTTATCATCCATTGTACCTTATTGGTAAACAGACTTGTACAGTTTCCTGGTTGCATTACGGATAAATAACTTAAAATGCAATGTTACAAGTTCAAATCCCAGTAATGTCTAAAACTCAGCCTCTTGTCCTTCCAAAATGGTGCCATGGTAGCGAGATGTTAACTACCTCGCCTGGTATGCATCAGGTCGTTGGTTTGATCCCGTCCCTAACGCCTATATACCTGTATTTGGAGTTTGCATGCTCTCCCCGTGGTCGCGTGGATTTTTCTCCAGGTCCTCCGTATTTTCTCCCTCCTTTTAGAATCAACGTTACGCGTTTAGAGTATTTGGCTGCTATACATTTCCACATTATAATAAGGCACTTTGTTGAGCGATCATTTGTGATAGCCAGGTCGCTTCTGAAAAAGAGCTACATCGCTCAGTGGGCCTTACCTGGTAACATAAATCATTGTTTAGTTTATGAGTGGGTAAACTGAGTACCACTGGAGGTGGCGGTTGTCCTATGTAGAGACTGGCCCTTGTCATGGGAACGTTATTTTCACCACTGGCTCATGGCCATCAATGGATATGAACGTGGCCTCATATTTACGGATACTTTGAAACAACTCGACACACTGGTGTGAAGTTATTGAGAGCCCCTATAACAAACGTGTGCTGCCTTTATTGCACTCTCAGTCAATGTGTGTGTGTGCATGACACGTAACTGTGCTACTGCCTGCACAGAATTAACGAGGTGGATGGTAGAGGCAAGACGACGCAGACAAGACAGATAGTACACAACCAGTATTGTACATATGGGACGATACAAGCGAGACCGTACAGACAAGACCATGCAGACGTGAGAAGCGATAGAGACAAGGTAGACCGTATATAAAGTGCACACAATACAGTAGAAACTAGACAGTATCGATATAACCAACTGAACAGATGGTACAAGACGAGGCAGTGCAAACAAGGCAAGAAGCAACTCTTGAATGGATCCTTAAGCCTTGTTTGTGACAATAGAATCACGCATGGCAGAAGCAGTGGCGGCGCTCAGCCGTGAACCAACTTGGCAAAAGCTTCGGGTCCCCAGTAGCTCAGGGGGCACCAATAAGCAGCTAATTGATACAGAGCCTAATTTAATACGGAGGTTTTTTGCAAACAATATTATGGTTGCCTGATAAACACTTTGGCGAGATGTTAACCACTTTGCCTGGTATACAGGAGGTCGTGGGTTCGATCACAACCCTGACGCCTGCTGTATTTTTGGAGTTTGCATGTCTCTCCCCATGGTTGCGTGGATTTTTCTCCGGGTCGTCTGATTTTTCCCGCCACATTTAGAATCAACATGTATAGAGTGTTTGGCTGCTATACATTTCCACATGATAAGCCACTTCGTTGAGCTATCAATTATTTTAATAGTTTTTAATAATCATTGTATAATAAGGCTGATTCTTAATATATATTTTTTGGAGACTTCAAAATGATCTGAACAATTATCCTGTCATATCGCCATGCATCATCCCCGATAAAGAATGACAGCCAAAGATGGGAATGGGCTGAGGACATGCCCACTGTAAAGTGATGGCTTCTGTGCAGCAGTTAGATGAATTGTTGCATCACAAGACTGTAATAGATGGCAAAGGCTTACGGAGGTCTTAAGTTTAATCAGTTTGCAAATTACAGCAAACACAAATATTTTTTCATTAAAACTAACACTGAAAATATTCATTAAAGATTGACCTCATAAAACTGGTAACTACAGCACTTTAAGCAATACATTGTGAAAGAAACGGTACGACCATTAGCTGGCCATCGAACAAAGACGGTCACTGCATCTCGTGCTTTCGGATGCGCTTCCGTGGCCGTCTGGAACGCTCTTTCTTCCGATATTAGGAAATCACTGGAGCTATGCACTTTTATACTCCGATTAGCACGGTTGGCTACGTACAGTGCAAAAGAAGTTCAACATACATAAACACTTACATATGTACACACAGGGGAATGTGTGCGTTGTCCCGCCCTCACAGGTGCTCGGCACAGGAGTACAGCTGGTACAAGGGCGCCCGGTGCCAGTCGGTGGTGACGGACTTCCAGGTGGGATGCGTGGCGGTGGGCACCGCTCTGCTTGTGCTCTTCCTCATCTTCATGCTCATCGTCTTCTTCGCCAAAAAGCTGCACTCGCTGAGCACTGAGAACCAGCAGCTGCGCGCAAAGAGGTGAGTGGCCGTGAGTGACCGTGAGTGGCCGTGCGTGGCCGTGAGTGACCGTGAGTGACCGTGAGTGGCCGTGCGTGGCGTGAGTGACCGTGAGTGGCGTGAGTGACCGTGAGTGGCCGTGAGTGACCATGAGTGGCCGTGAGTAGCCGTGAGTGGCCGTGAGTGACCGTGCGTGGCTGTGAGTGACCGTGAGTGACCATGAGTGGCCGTGAGTGACCGTGAGTGGCCGTGCGTGGCCGTGAGTGACCGTGAGTGACCGTGAGTGACCGTGAGTGGCCGTGCGTGGCGTGAGTGACCGTGAGTGGCGTGAGTGACCGTGAGTGATTATGAGTGGCCGTGAGTGACCGTGAGTGACCGTGCGTGGCCGTGAGTGGGCGTGAGTGACCATGAGTGACCGTGAGTGGCTGTGAGTGACCGTGAGTGACCGTGAGTGGCCGTGAGTAGCCGTGAGTGACCGTGCGTGGCCGTGAGTGGCCGTGAGTGGCCGTGAGTGACCGTGAGTGGCCGTGAGTGACCGTGAGTGGCCGTGAGTGACCGTGAGTGGCCGTGAGTGGCCGTGAGTGACCGTGAGTGGCCGTGAGTGACCGTGCGTGGCCGTGAGTGGCCGTGAGTGGCCGTGAGTGGCCGTGAGTGACCGTGAGTGGCCGTGAGTGGCCGTGAGTGACCGTGCGTGGCCGTGAGTGGCCGTGAGTGGCCGTGAGTGGCCGTGCGTGACCGTGAGTGACCGTGAGTGACCGTGAGTGGCCGTGAGTGACCATGAGTGGCCGTGAGTGACCGTGAGTGGCCGTGAGTGGCCGTGAGTGACCGTGCGTGGCCGTGAGTGGCCGTGAGTGACCGTGAGTGGCCGTGCGTGACCGTGCGTGACCGTGAGTGGCCGTGAGTGACCGTGAGTGGCCGTGAGTGACCGTGAGTGGCTGTGCCTGCCAGGGTTCTCGCCATCCTGGTGTATGGGGCCCATCAGTGAATATCCTCGGCTAAGAATTCAGAGCCGAATTTAACACATAGGTTTTTTTTTTGCCTGATAAACACGGTGGCTAGGAGATGTTAACTAGCTTGCCTGGTATATAGGAGGTTGTGGGTTTGATCCCAACCCTGACGCTTGCTGTATATTTGGAGTTTGCGTGTTCTTGCTGTCTCTTTCTGTGGTCGCATTGCACCGACTTCTTTGCTTTTCGTGTCATGCATTATTCACTATACAGAAAGATCGTGCAATCCAACGCAGGTTTGTCGTAGAAGGCCTGCAACGTTAGGCCGGGATCACGATAGATTTGACGAACCCCATGGGACCCTTTAGCAGCCATCTGGACGGTGCGCTGATGGAGACGATCGCAAGCCACTCTTGCCTGGATATTTACTAACAGGTCCACAGTGTGCTGGAGCACTGTCCCTACATCCGTGCGATGTGGCCAAAAAAGACAGAGGTGGCTTGAGTGGACATTGTCGTTTGACGGCAGAATGACCAGCGCCTTGCCTAGGCTTCGGTGTTGCGAACAAAGTCGAACCATCTGATGCCTGGAAGCTGCGGCCTGTTTGAGACTGCAGGCGAGTCTGCGTCTCAGCGCCGTGGAGTAGGACTGGCATCACGCAAGCCTCGTATACGGTCTGTTCTCCTGTCACGTATGTTGTTTTCATAACTTGAATTGGACATAACGCAATGAATGCATTGGGAAACACATTTTTTATAACGCGGAGATGAATTGGATATATAACACGATTGAGTGAACAGAACTACATCATGTGAGTAGGAATAAGCGGTTGTACGGTTGCCTCGGCATAGCATCGCACAAGGCATTGGGATGCTTCTAGACGCTACCCAAGTGCCTAAATCTTTGTTCAGCCTGCGTTATGCATCTCACGTGTTATCGCGGACCATGCTTTATCCCTATAATATATAATATTTATTATAACGCCATTTTTTCATAAAGCGGTGTTCTTGAGGAATGCAACAACCACCGCGTTATAGGAGAGCAGACTGTACTCGAGTCTTAGGCGATGTGATAACTCTGCGGGGCTACAGGTTTAGTTTATAATACAGGCTTTTTAAAATTAGATCGCCACCACCCAACACAGCCAATTAGTAAGGTTTGTCACATAAACAGAACATGCCAATGCGTTACTAGTACAGCACACCAGTGTGTTGGAGAGCCAAGCCACAAGATTTACAATCTGAGTACGACCTTTCGCCAGTAATTAAAACTAGCTTCATCAGGCGACAGCCAGATACGTGACAAACCTTACTAATTGGCTGTGTCGGGTGGTTTTAGCAGCAGTTACATTGGGGAAACGAAACGACATGTCTCGGACCGCGTTTGTGAACACAAGGCAGATCTGAAACACGGTAGGACCAATACCTCTGCCGTTGCTGATCATTGTTTTAACATTGTGGGCTCACACGAAATTTATTTTTCCAAGACGGAGGTACTCTGCAAACCTACCGGCTACCTTCAGAGATTTGTTCATGAAGCCATCCAGATATATAAACACAGACACAGCTTGAACCGAGAGGATGGGTACAAACTGAGCAATCATTGGAAGGACGTTATTAACCAGGTAAAGTCTTAACTGACTGTGATGTTTCCATCCCACCTGCCTATGTCAGTTGTTATTTCCAACTCTCTGTGTCTCTCTCTATGCCTCTCTCTTAGATCTCTCACATGCCCTTTGGATTGCACTCTCATGCTCACATGTCCTTTGGATTGCACTCTCATGCTCACATGTCCTTTGGATTGCACTCTCATGCTCACATGCCCTTTGGATTGCACCTTTCATACTCACGTGTCCTTTGGATTGCACCTTTCAGGCTCACATACTCTTTGGAGTGCACACTCATGTTCACGTCCTTTGGATTGCACTCTCATGGTGCTAATCTCTCATTAATACTGCTGTTGTGCACATATGCGGGCATGATACTCTTATGCGGCGACGGAATCTCATTCATGCTAATCTCCCTCCCTAATCCCTCTCTCTATAATCTCCCCCATTAACACAGCTGACGTGCCTGTGTCCGGGGATGAAATTCCTTTCCAGCTCAGACCCCGCTTGCTTGCCCATCGCCACATATATAACCTTGTTGTAACTGCTCTCTTGCTGGTTCAGCAGTTCCACTGCTGGATTATATTTTTTCCGCCTGAGGACGACCGCTTGTGTTGCGTTCTAAACGTCGTGATTTATTTTATTTTATACCTACGTGACTTTACCGAAAGAACCAAAGAATAAAAATAATATACCATCTGTCGCCCAACTTCTGCTCCAAACCATTATCTGTCTAACGGCTCTTATTTTATGGAATCAATGCAGAATATTTGCTCCCTGCAAATATATATTCTCCACACATTCCGTACACTTCTACAGCCAAGTGTGTAGTTTCGTTGTGGAATGCGTGCTCAGAAAATCCAACTTGAAGGTTGCCTGTTTAGAACCCACGGGGACGTCGGCAGAGCCAGTCGGTAGACTTGGTGTTATCCCATGAGAGAGAGAGAAAGAGAGAAACACAGCATGGAATCTTTGACGCCTTCTCTGTTTCAACTCGTCCACATTTCCCTCACTCCCACCAGTGTCTCTGTCTCGTGGTGTCTCCCCCACTCCCACCAGTGTCTCTGTCCCCTCGTGTCTCCCTCACTCCCACCTGTGTCTCTCTCCCAGTGTCTCCCTCACTCCCACCTGTGTCTCTGTCCCCTCGTGTCTCCCTCACTCCCACCTGTGTCTCTGTCTCCTGGTGTCTCCCTCACTCCCACCTGTGTCTCTGTCCCCTCGTGTCTCCCTCACTCCCACCTGTGTCTCTGTCCCCTCGTGTCTCCCTCACTCCCACCAGTGTCTCTGTCCCCTCGTGTCTCCCTCACTCCCACCTGTGTCTCTGTCTCCTGGTGTCTCCCTCACTCCCACCTGTGTCTCTGTCCCCTCGTGTCTCCCTCACTCCCACCAGTGTCTCTGTCCCCTCGTGTCTCCCTCACTCCCACCTGTGTCTCTGTCTCCTCGTGTCTCCCTCACTCCCACCTGTGTCTCTGTCTCCTCGTGTCTCCCTCACTCCCACCTGTGTCTCTGTCTCCTCGTGTCTCCCTCACTCCCACCTGTGTCTCTGTCCCCTCGTGTCTCCCTCACTCCCACCTGTGTCTCTGTCTCCTCGTGTCTTCCTCACTCCCACCTGTGTCTCTGTCCCCTCGTGTCTCCCTCACTCCCACCTGTGTCTCTGTCTCCTCGTGTCTCCCTCACTCCCACCTGTGTCTCTGTCTCCTCGTGTCTCCCTCACTCCCACCTGTGTCTCTGTCTCCTCGTGTCTCCCTCACTCCCACCTGTGTCTCTGTCTCCTCGTGTCTCCCTCACTCCCACCTGTGTCTCTGTCTCCTGGTGTCTCCCTCACTCCCACCTGTGTCTTTGTCTCCTGGTGTCTCCCTCACTCCCACCTGTGTCTCTGTCTCCTGGTGTCTCCCTCACTCCCACCTGTGTCTCTGTCCCCTCGTGTCTCCCTCACTCCCACCTGTGTCTGTCTCCTGGTGTCTCCCTTACTCCCACCTGTGTCTCTGTCTCCTGGTGTCTCCCTCACTCCCACCTGTGTCTCTGTCCCCTCGTGTCTCCCTCACTCCCACCTGTGTCTCTGTCTCCTGGTGTCTCCCTCACTCCCACCTGTGTCTCTGTCTCCTGGTGTCTCCCTCACTCCCACCTGTGTCTCTGTCCCCTCGTGTCTCCCTCACTCCCACCTGTGTCTCTGTCTCCTCGTGTCTCCCTCACTCCCACCTGTGTCTGTCTCCTGGTGTCTCCCTTACTCCCACCTGTGTCTCTGTCTCCTGGTGTCTCCCTCACTCCCACCTGTGTCTCTGTCTCCTGGTGTCTCCCTCACTCCCACCTGTGTCTTTGTCTCCTGGTGTCTCCCTCACTCCCACCTGTGTCTGTCTCCTGGTGTCTCCCTCACTCCCACCTGTGTCTCTGTCTCCTGGTGTCTCCCTCACTCCCACCTGTGTCTCTGTCTCCTGGTGTCTCCCTCACTCCCACCTGTGTCTCTGTCT